CTAAGTGAAAAAAGCAAGATACAAAGCTCATACAGTAGCACAAAAGTCACACATCATGATCCCAATTCTATTTCGGAAAAGTATATAAATGTATGCATTAAAAAAGACAGGAAGGAAAGAAATCATAAAGTTTCAATAGTCAATATTTCTAAGTGATAAAATTACAGATGGCTTACTTTTCATTGTATTTTCTAGTATTTCTAAACTTGTATCTTTTTTAAATTTAATTGGCACAGACCAAGTGAGAAAGAGACAGAGAAGAGCCCAAGCACAAGCCAGGAAATGGCAGGCAGGGGAGAAGCAGGGTCCCCGCTGAACAAAGAGCCCGATGTGCAGCTTGATCCCAGGATTCTGGGCTCATGGCCTGAGCCAAAGGCAGATGCTTAACTGACTGAACCACCCAGACAGCCCTAAACCTGTATTTGTGTTATAAGAATGGGAAAAGCACTTTCTAATTTTATCAAAAGGAAGAATATATCCCAAAATCCATTAATATTTCCTCCTTTTAGCTGTAATGAAGGATTTTTACTGCTTCAATAAAAATAAACATTTACTTTCATTTGTATATACTTTGTGTTGCACTTCACCCCAAAATATAATAAAATTCAGTATTTTTTATATTTAAAAATAACAATAAAGAACAATGAAGAAGAAGATCCAAGCTGCTGCGAAAAGAATCTAACGTTTTGTTTAGATGACTGAAAATCATCTGCCATAACATGGGGCACTGAGATACAGACTCAGATCCCTTATACCTAACTTTATATTTAGTACATAATATATATAACCTTTTAAAACACCAAGTCTAACTCTAATAAAAATCACTGAAAGTAGGGGCGCCTGAGTGGCTCAGTGGGTTAAAGCCTCTGCCTTCAGTTCAGGTCATGATCCCAGGATCCTGGGATCGAGCCCCACATCCGGCTCTCTGCTTCCCCTTCTCTCTCTCTCTGCCTACTTGTGATCTCTCTTTCTCTCTGTCAAATAAATAAATAAAATCTTTAAAAAAAAAATCACTGAAAGTATTATAAATCATATAAGCCCCTGCTCTTTAAAGTAAAAAATTTAAAAGCCTCCAAATCATATTTCTGCTTAATAATGCATAGCTGTTATAAACCGCTTAATAAAAAGGGCAATAGGGTACTGCCAGATTTAAGACTTTTTCTACAGCTGACCATATTTTCAAGTTAATAAGTTCTGTAGCAAAGCAGATTATCTCAAAGAATACCTTCTTTGTCAATCCTCACATACCAATGAAACAAAAGATAACCTTAGAAAAATTCAATTCACACATCACTTTTTAAACCTCTAATGCATTAATGAAATTAAGTCTCAAATTCATCAAAGGAATACCATCTATGAAAATTTATATGTATATATATATATTATTTTTTTTTAAGATTTTATTTATTTATTTGACAGGGACATATCACAAGTAGGCAGAGAGGCAGGCAGAGAGAGAGAGAGAGGGAAGCAGGCTCCCCGCTGAGCAGAGCGCCCGATGTGGGACTCGATCCCAGGACCCTGAGATCATGACCTGAGCCGAAGGCAGTGGCTTAACCCACTGAGCCACCCAGGTGCCCCTATATGTATATATATATTATTTTTTAACCATAGATATAAACTTGTTCTCATTTCTTGTCTGTTACAGTTTATTTTTTACATGAAAATTTTATGTAACTTTATATATACTTTTTCAAAGCATATACCCAACACTGACCACCACTAATTTCATATACAGAAAACACACATAAATTTTCCTGCTTTATCAGACCTTATCTAGAATATTTCCTCTGAGATGAGCTACATATTAAGAGTTTAATTATCAACTATACAGGCATCATTACATCAATTTATTAGTCTTAATTTGTAAGAGGAAGCTGAGATTAACATAAAAATTGAGAAGTGATCACCAAGTTTCCTAGAAAAAGCTTAATAGATATAAGATACAACTTAAAGGCTACCCAGATTCAGTCTCCTGTGTGACTCATCTGGGCACTAAGCACAGCTTGTTTTATTAATTGTAATTGCAACTTAATTCAGAATATAGTAGGAAATCAGCTGAAAACATATGAGTCCACTAAAGGACTGTTGAAAAGAAAATTAACCTTTATGACGTGGTTAAAAAAAAAGCAATAGGTCACACTGAAGGACTTGAGAAATTCTGAGATAGTAATCAGATAGTAATCTGTCACTTCCATCATTTGAACCTTTGTTTTTTTTTCATGGAAGTGAAGTCTATAAGTAAGAAAATCACCCAAATTTTTCCAACCAAGTTCTAAGTTATATACTTATAATTCAGCTTTTAAAATTATAATGAACAATTATGCCTCCTGAGTATGTGTAATGAAAATATTTTCTTCTGCTGAAAAACTTACTAATAAAATAGCATATTCAGTGAATTTTTCCACCATGTCTAATGTTATCTGGTAACCGTGAAATGCTAGTTAAAATTCAACAGAGATATAAGGATTCTCAGGGTTTAATATAGGAAATGGATGGGTTATCTAGTATGACACCACAAAGTAAATATGGAGAAAGTAGTTAAGGAAAACTACCTAAGCTTAGAATTAAATAGTGCCTGACTGCAAGTTTCCTTTAATCCAAAAAAGCTATACCTCTGCTTAAACAACCAATTATAATCTATACATGCGTAGAGATGCAAACAATTATATGTACTCAAACATACACATGTATGAATGCTTATATGAGTGTTTTATATAAATGTATTACGTATATATATACATTTTCACATATAAAGGTTTAAAAATTTTTCAACTGAAGAAGCTAAATTTGGAAAAAAATCCTTTCTAAATATTCCACACTTTCAGGGGATATTATGACTAACTTTATTAAGATTTTATTTATTTATTTATTTGAGAAAAAGAATGAGAGAGAGAGAGAGAGAGAGAGAGAAAGCCCGCATGAGTGGGGGGGAAGGGCAGAGGGAGAAGCAGGCTCCCCCACTGAGCAGGGAGCCCAATGTAGGGCTCGATCCCAGGACTCAGGGAACATGCCCTGACCCAAAGGGGCAGACACTTAATGCCTGAGCCACCCAGGCACCACAATATCGTGACTAACTTTAACATCTGAGTACCCAAATTCATTTACCCCAAGTCATCTTACCACTGTTAATTATAATCATGTAGAAATTAAACCATGCAACAAAAATATTCTAGTGGAATGTTATAAAAATCAGTGTCTCTACCAATTCCTTTAAGTTCAACTGCAGCCAATCTTCAGGATCTTTTCCGGTCAACTTCATTTGCTATGGAACATGTGTACACTGACCACTGTGGCTTGTTTTGTGCTCCTTATCACAATACATTCAGTTTGGCAGCACCCAGCTACCACAGGTCAGTAACTAGCTACCAGAAAGCAGGTAAGAAAAAAATCCAAATTTCAAGACAACAGCATCCTGAATATCCACCCACAGATGCTAAAGTCTCCTCCAGGCTTCATCCTCAGAGCTGTGTAGAGAGTTCATACATACATATTTTCAATATTCTGCAAGTGGATTAAGGATGGGATTTTACAATGAAGGTTCTCTTAGCAAGTTTTTCGAGTAAATTAGGTTTTTATAGAGGAAAATCGTCTACGCATCATCATATGCTTGATTTGACAGAGGTGCAAAAATCCAAAATAGATCAAAATTAAGTCTTTTATTTTAGCAAATCTGCTACCAGAGACCCAATGGGCAATGGTGATGGTCCCTGTAATTTTATATGCACAAACTGACAAATCCTCTGTTCCAAAGACTTTGGGGATTAACCTGAGAGAAATAGTGATAGAGAGACATTAGTTGCATATATTTGCAACTAAAAAAAGTATCACTATTTTAACTCAAAGCAAGTAACTAAACTGAGGACCCTCCTAATAAATTTCCTTGCTTTTTCAAATTATAAACGCAAAAGCAAAAGCACTCTAAAATTTAAATGTTTTATTGCCTTCTCTTTTATTTAGCAATAACTATATGTGCGAATGTTATAAATATCTCAGTGACCATTTTCAAGTTACCATAAAATTTGCTAAAGATAATCATTTTCATCAATATACGTACCTAATAGTTGTTAACTCTCCGGAAACAATAAGGATTTTTACAAAATGGGATGAGTCAACAAACAGCCCATAAAGCTGGGCGCCTCACACCACACAGCCTTCTAGCCAAAGTGTCATGTGCATTATCATCTTTATAAATGAAATAGTTATAAACAGGGATGAACAAGACCACAGTGAGCAAATGTAATGCTTTCAACCGTGTGTTTTTTTAGTAGTATTTTCTTCATTGTATTTAAATTGTTATTAATCTGCATTCTGAACACAAGAAAAATGGATTAGACAGAGAAACAGAAGACCAAAGCAGTAATAAATACTGTCTTTAAGATACAAAACATATATCTGAGTGGATATTAATAACTTATATTTATACATATATTAACAGGAAAAAGAAAAAACCTGATGTGTTATTGATACTCATACAGAGCCATGGCACCCTCGGAGTACTGTATTAAGATTACAGTAAGTCTGTTTCAGGTGACAGACACTGAAGTGAAATACAGAATACCCAAAAGAAAGATCCTGTAGTAATACGCCATGAGAAAGTATTTATGCCTTTCCTGAAGCCAGCGAATTCAAAGAAATTAAGGTCTAATCAAAATAACTTTTAAAACATCAACAATTCCCCTCATGGTGTAAGTGCCAAGGAATAGATGAATTGCCCGAACCACTGTAAGAGAACACTAAAGCATGAACATTTATTAATACTTTTAGCTACCTATCAGTAATAGACATGCTAAAAAAAAAAAAAATGCAGAATGCTGAGAGAAAAACAGAAAATGGGAAAGCAAGTCAAATTTTCCTCACACATAGGACATATCCTATAAAAAGTGCTCTTATGCATAGTTCCAAACGAAGCTCTCTCACGAAAGAAGAGCAATCACTGTCACCCACTATCTGCTGCATTATACTTTTGTTATCACCAAGATTACATAAGGCCTGCATACCAAGTTCATCGTGCAAGCTGCTGCCGCCTACAGCAGATGCATTGTCATGTGAGGCTTCTAAGTGGATACTCCCATTTCTCACCAGCAAGGACGCACTAGCACTGAGCACTGCAGCCTGGGAAGGGGGACGGGACTGGACTTTGACCTGGGCTGTGGACTGCGGGCCTTGCTGACCATCTTGAAGGCTAGGAAAAAACATGGATTGGGGAGACATTACAGGGAAGAAAAGAAAAAACAATAGCTAGAATGAAGTCAATACAGAAAACTGATTTTGAAATGTAACTTGATTTTTTCAGTGTAACCTAAGAAAGAACTAACAAACTTTGTAAAACATACAGATTATCCTGTTGTCTTAAATCTTCTGGTCCTTAGAAATCTGATGCATAGTGATGAACACAGCAAACATTTAATGCATATGTAAGCTAATCAACCTGTGACTTTTTCCCACCACAAGCCAACAAAATTTTAGTACAAGGACAAAGAAAGCAGCAAAGAAACACAAGCACGTTAAATATATGTGGGTTGTAGCTGGTCCCCAATAGATAAATCCTCTTTTTCAGTTTAAATATGAACTTTTATTTATAACCTTTATAATAATTCTAGAATTGTGCTTTCAAATATTCTGGCATCTCAAATTCACAATAAAACAAAGTTTTTATGCACTTGAAAACCAAAGAATCTTTATCAAATGCAACCAAGGTGACAATTTTGAATCAAAAGAATCACAAACTAGTGCAAGAGAAACAGTAACAAACACCAACTCAACCAAGTGAAATACGAATGATGCTGGAATGCTGGAAGTGTGATTAATTTATCAAGTATTTTCTTCTATGCAAAGCCTACATATTTCGTAAAGAAGGCCAGAGACTCTATCTACATGTTACTACCTTCTCCAATCCATTTCATTGTTTCATTAACAAGGATCCATTATTTTAGAAAATCTTAAGAGTAATTTGGAAACCAGTAATTTCTCAAGGGATATTACAGTCTTTTTAAAATCTTACAGATTTTTAAAATACTTAGTATTTTATTATAATTTTGTCACTTGTTAAAATTATTTATAAAGATCATCTAAATATCTAAAAATCTATAACTAAGAAACTGTATTCTTAACTCATATTTTAGATGTTTATTTTAAAATACTATGTATTTTAATGTTCTTAGTACAATACTCAAATTTAAAGTGATGAAACTCATGGAAATATTTTCAGTATAATTATTGTATTTCATTCTTTACATGACACTCAAAGTAAATCTGCATTCTGTTATTAAATTAGAACTTCTAGAAAAAAAAAAAAGAAAATGCTGCTTTGGATGACCTCATTGAATTACTTTATCATTTTCTTGAGTATCAACTCCTTTTTAATGTTTTGAATTCAATACAATGGTTTCTCTAATGCCTATGAAACAAACTCTTCTGTACAGACTGTGAAAAGAGCTGTAATTTGAAGTAGCCAAGTAATAAAAGACTAACTAGAAAATACTGTTTATGTTGCTTAAGCCTATGGTTATAGCAACAAAATCCACTCTGGAATTACACTGTCTTGATGTGGTAACCGCACGTGACCACCTAAACTCAAATTTTAGTTCCTCAGTCCCTCTAAGTACATCGTAAGTGCTCAACAGCCACATAAATAGCTAGAAGCTACCAGAGCTAAAAGCTGGCAGAGTGGACAGAAGCTGGTAACAAGCGTCCACCACACTGCACAGTACAAATTATATAGTATTTCCACCACCATATAAAGTTCTATTACCCATCACTACCTGGAACATTCACATTTCAGGCTCCTTTTAGAGCCAAAGAAAAGTATGCACTCTAAGTAGAGCAGAGGAATGTACAGAACACATGAAAAAAAGCAAGTCTACCCAATGTTGACTTGTCAATGCTTATTTGCATTCTTTAAGCCATAACTATCAAAGTATTCATTTGATAACTTCTTTGGAGTAAAATCTTTGTACAATCAACATAAATCAAGAGATGATCTTGGGAACTGATATAATTAAATATGGTGGTATCTTCCATATATACACAATAAGTCTGTTACTCCTCCTCAAAATTTATCTCAAGTTATCCACAAACCTTATAAAAATGATCAAATTTCACAAGGGAGAAAATTCTGATGAATAAAATGTTTAAGTAGTTCAAGTACTAGGTCCCTTTTGATTCAGAAGACATTAAGAATTTTATACAATATGTACTCAACAAATTTTTCTTTACTTTTTTGTTTTCACTTAAAGTCAAAAACGAGATGCTATACGACAGATGTATTTTAATGTGAACACATCTGAGAATACAGTAATCCTCAACATATCCAAATATACAAAAAGGTTTTCAAAATATCAGGTAATGCATGGGAATCAATTCCAGAATAAAGAAACCAAGGAAACAACTGAAAATCTATGTGGCCGTCAAGTTTTTGAACAACAAAAGCTAGTCGTAAATGCTACGTCCCTTGAATTCCTGTTTTCAGAATCCTTCAACAACAAAAATGACTGTCATTTTTGCAGAAGTTGGCAGGAAAACTACTCCTGGTGGGTTGTACTTCACCTAACTAGTAACTGACAGGAACTAATATTTTTTAAAGTACCAGTTATATATCAAAACATAGCAAAAGGAAAAGGTAGGAATTTAGGTCTATCAGCTATCAATAGCATCACTGACATGCAATCCTACTAATTAACATTTCCAATTTAAATACCTAGTCTTGGTCTTTCCTCCCTCTGTACCACTTTAGTATTTGGCACACTCTGTCTTACGTTATTGTTTTGTATGTGTCTCCACAACTAAAAAATAAACCCTAAGAGTCTGCCTTATTCTTATGAACCTCCAGATTCCAGAGAACATTCAAGAGATTGTTTTAAACACAGTACACAAACAACAAATACTTGGTGGATTTATTCCTGAGCACCATGAAAGGATCCCTATGAATTTCTAATCATGGACTGTTATTACTACTATGAACTTATTTGATTACAGATCTTTCAATCTTATAATACTTTTAAAAAATAAACATAAGAATATAATAAACTTTTTTCCTTTCCCCAAAATGTACTAATTTCTTTTCATTCCAGTCCATTAACTAGAGTTTTAAAAGATATATTTGGGTTGATAAAAATAAATATGGAACTCTTAGTTTTATAAAATTTTTAAATATTAATCTTTACTTTTATCTCTAGTAACCGAGAAGAACTGTCAAGGGCCTAGAAAACCTACGTACAAGGCTAACTTAATGGAAAAAAAAACAACAACACCACTTTTAAAAATAAAATTCTGAAATAGGACATTCTAACAATTATTTAAAAAATTTGCAAATTCCCTTCATGAAGAAATTTATGATTCATTCACAATCCTTGGAGACCTATATTTTACCAAGTTCCTTTTGATTGTCAAATACTTAAACTATTCATTAAAGTTTAAAATAAGTTAGTACATTTTACTAATACATAATTGTAATTATTATCACTCCTATTCCATTTTCTTTTGACAAGTAAGTTTTTCAAGTTTTCCATGACCATACCATCCATATTTACTTAACGATGAGACTATTATGTAACTCAAACTGAGAATTAACAATATACTCTACCTGAATTTTTTTGCAATTAAAAAAAGATTTTATCAAATTGGTGTTTCTCCTAATTCCTCTAAGCTAAATTTTATATTTCATCCATGATGAAGTCAGCCTATTTAAGATACATGCAAACTTTATACTGGAAATATCCTGGAACCTTAATAAAATCTACATGTTGACTACTAGATGACTTTCGAAAACTTCTAATGTGAGCCCTTTACAGATAAGCTTCATACCATATCCTCAGCTGAATGTTGATGTATTTAAAATCCTACAAAATTCTACATAATTGGCTAGAGTCAGAACATAGTTCTTTAATATTCCACCAGGCAAAGAAAAAAAGTAATTTGTCTCCATTTGTTTGGTGAGTGGGATCCAGGAGCCTCATTTGTGCCAAAGAATGAAAGGATTTGTAAAGACTAAAAAGAAAATGTTAAAAAAAAGGATTAAGAAATATCAATATGGAGTAAGGAAGCAAACATGTCTATGGCAAGTATTATTCAAAGGGCAAAATGAAGCGGTTAGAAAAAAACAAAACCAAAAGTAAAACGAAATGCTGAGCTCTTTCTGCAGGTTGGGACCAGACACCCCAATCCAGCAGCAGAAGGAAAAACTACTTCAGGGAGCAAAGGAAAAGCAGTGAAGGGCATGTAGAAGAGAGGGGTTTACAAAAAGCAGCAGAGCTCAGAAAAGTTTCTAGACCAAATGTTTTTTTAACTGGTGCCTTCCCATTTTTACATTTTAAATGTTGGTTTAACTAATACACACTACTTTTAACAGAATTATGTATTACTGCAGGATTAATCTGGAACACGACCTACTAAAGATGAAGTACCCAACTGTAATGTAAAATCCAGAAGAATAAGTAAGTCTTAAATCCCAGAGAACTATAAAAGCAAACATTTTGTTACTCTCAAGAATAAGACTTTACCAAGAGAAGAGCTCTGGCTCTTCTAATCTACTGTGCGTTCAATAGCAGTTATGTCAACAAATGCTATTCCTTTTGAATTTCAAATTAAAATGTAGGAAAACAATTTGGTGGTGGTGTTTTTCAACACATCCATTAATAAAAGCATACGGTATAATAGATGTGATGCTTAAGCAAGCACATGTAAAGCATTTTTGTCCATATTTGTATTTGTAAAATAAAAGACAAATCTTTTGTCTCATAAGACACACTTGAGAATAAAACACTAAAATTTTAATTGAAAACTATTCCTAATATTATAAATAGGTGCTTTCTCAATTAGGAGTATTAGGAAAAGTAAAAATGTCTTCAGTACTATCCAGAGGTTGAGAAATTCAACACAGATATATGCAAATATATACATAAATACCCAATTGACCATACTTTACCATGAATGGAATATTTTAGTTCCATGTCATTTACCAGCTCCTAGTAATTATGAAATAAAGGACACCAATTTTTAAGTAATACAAAATACATATTCTAGTGAAATAAAATAATCAAGTTGGCTGATCAAGCTGAGGGCCATTATCCGTATTCCTCAGCAAGCTCCCTGCTCAGTCCATATTTGTTCCCATTATATTGTGGAGATGTTGGAGGAAAGATGCTGCATTAGCATTAATTTGGAGTAGAAAAAAAATGAAAAGCTAACTTAAGGCGTCTGTTTACATTTATATAACTGCACTAAAGTGAGTTTGCTATTTAGAATTGACTAAACCAATCTGATCATTTTGTTGAAACAGTGCAACGTAAGGCATGCATAATGCAACAGGCTCATGGTGACATGCAGAGAAAGCTCAGAGAACTGAAAACTACAGGAGAGGAACTGGAGGAAAGAGAGGCCATCTGAATGCTTCCTTGGGACTGACAGAACAGGTTAGAAGGTCTGTTACAGGCATGCTAAGCTTGGTGGAATTTTAAAATACCATACCTTAGGGGTGATCCGATGAGCAATGTAGGAGGGGTAGGGTTACTCCCTGCATTGTGCCGGCGCCGAACTGCCTGGCGCCTAAATGTGCTGCGTTCGCGGCGAAAGGACACTGCCTCCTCGCTGGCCTGTGCCGCTGCATCAAGATAGACTTAGGTCAAATAGGAGCCTAGGCCACAGATGTTCATAGCAGCTGAGCCTACCTCTCCCTGACTTCCCACCCTCAAAGGTAAAGGGAACTCGTCTAGGTGAGCCGAACAGTTTTCATACCTAAGCGGTTAATCTATCGTAGTCAGGAATACACAAAACGTACATGTCATTTATTTAAATTGTTTCTTTAAAAATATTTCTAATGTAGCTGGCCTTACTATCTTCTCTTCAATTTCAATTTGCTATTTTAATATCTCTGTTGCTTTAAATCTTTTTCTAAAAGCCTCGATTTAATCCCATGATCCTCTATTCCCCCCTTAATTAAGTCAACCCCGAAAGTACAGTCTTTGTTAGTCCCAGCTAACAGGAATGGGGCATTACTTTCTCACTCTCAAGAGGACAGTTCAAGCAAGTAATGGCAAAACATCATTTCTGATGCTGAGGAGTATGGCGGTCTGGGCCATTACTCTGGCAGCTTTTTAAATGTTTAATTCAAGACAGCATGGTCATATTGTAACAGTAAGGTAGTTTGCTTCCATCAAACAGTATTCAACTCTGCACCCCAGCACAGGTCCCCTCAACACTAGGAAGCAAGTATCAGCTAGATGACAAGTACAGAAACTCATAGCTTAAAAAGCAATAAAGTACAAGCTAAAACCAAATACACAATGACCAAATCACAACAATGCCATTAAAGAATTATGTAAAATTTTATAAAACCATTCTCATTGACTGATTTCAGTTTCTAAAACAAAATGCAAAATGATGCTTATTATCTGAATTTAAAACAACTGTTTCCCAGTGATCTGAATGTTGGTATATAAATATTTTAAGGATGATCTTGACTATGAAAAGGGTATTTTCATACCAAATGTGAATAAAGACAAAACAACTTAGTACAGCAGCATTCTTTCCAAACACTTTTTCCCTATTCAGTATGAAAAGGATTACAAATCCAAGAATGTTGTCTTCATATTTCAGTTCTGCTGCAAACTTTTTGAAAATTTTAAAAGCATAGTTACTAATTCTCAAATCATTATTCTGCTTAGCAATACACATTTCCACCAATGTGAATGTTGATTTTTTTAATGTTTTAATTTCCATATTTTTAATGTTTACATTTTTTTATCCCTTCCCCAGACTGTGCCAGTGAACATTCTTTATATAATGACTCTCTTATGATAAGGAATGTATACACTACTTCCAGAAGGCATAGTGTTTCTGTGTAGGCATTGTTTTCTTTTATTGCAGGAATGACAAGCACATAATTATTTCATCCATTTGGCAAGCTTCTGCCAGTGAGAAGCAGAAGTCACAAATTACAGGACACTTACTTAAATATTTTATTTTTCAGCTCATACACCACAGTGACATTCTAAAGTTAGGCAACTACATAAGAATGAGGCTTTGGTGCTTTGGCTCCAAATCGGACTTGACTCCTTGAGCTAATATTTCTTTCCTCTTTTTTTCTCCAGTTTCACTGAGATATAATGAAAGTTCCTTTAAATGTGAAAAAGGTTACTTGTGAGAGTTCACATATGCAAAAATTACATATGACCTGTGAGAACAAATGATCATTAAACCTGATCATCTAGAACCGTGCTGTCCAACATGGTAGCCACTAGCCATATGTGGCTATTTAAACTTACATTAATTAAAATTAAGAAGGATTAAAAATCAGTTTATCAGATTCCTGAACCACAGTGCAAGTGTTCAATAAGTACATGACTAGTGGCTACCATTACTGGGGCAATACAAAGGCAGAATATTTCCAACATCACAGAAAGTCGTATTGGACAGTGCTGATCTAGAAATTCAAGGACGCCTTCCTGTCACCACAACCTACAAAGCATATTGTGTGCTTAGCCTACTCCTGACAACTGTGACCTCAATAAAAGGAAACTGCAACCAGCACCGTCACAAAGGAGAAAACTCACCAGCAGGGTAGGCATTGGATAAAGGATAAAACTTGCAGGAAGACATGCAAACTTACATGAGTGACTGGTATTCCTGTTGGTGGCTCTTAGATATCAGTAAGGTTATCTTAGGTTATGGAATTTAAAATTACTCTTTCGAAACTCAAGACATTTGTGACCTTATACTAAAGATTTCTATTACAGTGTAACAAACGACTACTCAATTTACAGTCTTAACTTCATTAAGGAAATTATACACATTCTCTCTAGTTTTAGATATCTAGTTTAGATAATTTTATTCTTTATCTAAGATATAATTTATGAAAAATAATCCATAAAATGTATTAAAATTACTCCGACAGATTTCGTATTTGTAATCATTGGATACTGAGAATAAAAGAAGGGAAACAGGCAACGGTATTTTTTACTCTCTTCCTTCTCCTGAAGACATAATGGTGTGAATTTTAAGTAAAAGCCAGTTACTCCCTAATACTAAAATGAAAACACAAACTACAGTATCCATTTATAGTCAAACTGTTCTTTGGCTTCTTCAGAAAACAATTTTTTTTGCTATTATCACACCATTTATATTTTGTCATTTGGCAAAGAACTGCATAATACTACTCATTCTCCTAACCAAATAGTTTTGGAAACACTTCAAGACGAAAGTTTAGACGTCGACTGAACAATGTTTTAAAAAGAAGTTATGATTATTGCCTGCGTTGTCCTTGTAACATTCAGGGTGTAAACATCTACAGCTGAAAGAATTTTCAATGTTTACTATCGCAACTACTTTAACAGCAGCTAGGGTCACACACTCAACTGAAGACGCTATGCCATAGTTCATGACACAACAAATAAGACTAAACCACACCCCCTGAGGAATGTACTACTTAGACCGATCATCTCTATTCAGATTAGGAGCCAGAGGGGTCCAGTTCTACTCCTGACAAGGAAAGAAAAGTGTCTTTCACAGCTTAAAATAATTTGCTATAAGCACAATCATACAAGTTAAAGCCACTTGATGAAAATTCACTTCTATAACCCAATTATAACAAACTCTTTTTGAATCCTTTAAATTTGTAAGAGAAAGAAAACAAAGCACATGCAAAAAAATCTTTGAACTAGGGAACCAGACAGGAGGGACAAAACACTCTAAAACCTTGTTTTGAAGTTGACATTTTGACATTGCTTGAAACCCAGAATGAGATTAACTAGAATAATAACAGCATAAAATGCAAACAGTGAAAATTTAACACTCTGGCTACAACTAAAGTTAAAGGATGTGTAGGTAAAGGAGGAAAAAAATACAACCATTAATCTAACTGATTGAAAAACCATAAATAACAGGACAGATTTAAAAATACTTTCAAGGACATATACTTAGACAATTGTGAATCTTTTAATGCATATTTTCAAAATCACAAATCATTTCTTTGTATTAGAGGACTTCAAGAGACTGAATTATAAGCACAAGTTTAAGAGAGAACCTTGGATCATGTAGCTCTTTATTTTTGAGAAAGTAAAACAATCATTCAATTAAGATTAAACATTTACTGGGGGACTAAGGGCAATTCATGCACAAGGCACAGAGATCCTAAGATATTTTAGACAGGTGTGTGAGCTGATCCATCCTAAGGATCCTAAAGATCTTTGATCCTAAAGATCAAATAAAAAACCCAAACCACAATACATACCTCCCACTTCAGAAGTGACTTCCCATTTACCTAAATGAGTTAAGGAAAATCCTCTAAATTATGTACTGAATTGTTTTAGTGCATGATTTATTCTTATATTGGGGAGAGTGAAACAACAGACTATCAGTTTGTTTTACTCTGTGAATGGAAACAGGAAAAATATCAAAGGCAATAAGTACTTTCGGGATGGCGGGGAGGTACAAAAGAGGGAGGTAGGAAGGGAGGGTTATCCATATTCTATCTCAAACACTGGAAAGCTATAACTGTAAGTACGTACAGAAATAGACACCACCTGAAAACACATCAATCATACAGCTGATTGCTTAACGTAAGATTTCAAATGTAGTAAGTTATCATCTAGTCGCTATATATAGTCGTGAATGGCCTCTTTGATAGCTCAGTTGCTATTAAAATGAATAAAAATTTAGACAAACCTACTCAAAGGTGTTATTTTCAGTAGGGAATGTTTATTATAGGAAAAAGTAAATTTGGGGCAATTGTGAAAATAAAAAGTTGGGTTTTGGTACCTCAAAGAGACTAGAAGCAAATGATATTAGGAAATGAGACTTTAAAGAGAGACAAAAATACAGACAAGTATATATAAATCTCAGAAAAATAAAATATATACACAGACATCCTGAAATACACTGAATATTCTTCAAGATAAAACTATTTTACTTAAGAATATAAAGTTACTACATAAAGAAATACACATCCAAATGATTATACAAAAGACATTTCAAAGAAATAGTTTAAGTCTAGGCAGGAAACCCATCTGATTTAAACATCTTTTCCCCTTCTTACTTTCCATGTCAGCCAAGGATGATGCTAACACCAGCATGCCAAGATTTTGTTCTAAAATAAAAACAAATACTCATCAGTGTCATTTTCTGGGAGGCTAAAGAACACTGACAGTCTACTGCACAGCCTTGAAACATTCATTCTGAATTAAAACAGTTTCAAACTGTGAACATTTTAAAGGACTACTTTGCTTTTCCACAAGTAAGCCAGCAAAGAGCAACCAACCAGAAAGGATTAGCTCTGGGTCTTGAGGGAGGGAGTTTGCATTCCTACTGATAGCTTCCACAATGCCAGGCAGCCAAACAACCCAGGTGGGTAGACAAAATGCTTTCAAGAAATCAAACCACACTCTGGAGTCGTGATACACACACAACAGTTCCTAAAAGCCACAGTTTCAGGATCACTTACTTTCAACAGTGGCTTCTAGTGTTTTTGAATCCTTTGTAAATAGGACGAAAAGATATAGACCCTCTCCCAGAAAACTGCACCCAGAAACTATTTTGCATATATTCTCAGAGATGCACCTAAGAAGGGATCACTAGTGAAGAATATATATTCGAAGTGACATCTATTTGAAGAGGGAACTTCCCTTAACAAATGGTTAAAAGGCAGTTTTTATAGTAAATATATATACTTATATATTATATAATAGTTTTCATAATAAACCTACAATTTACAGAGCACTTTTACAAATCTAAGCTCACTGGAGTCTAAGAGTTAACGGTGACTCAGACCTAGCCCTCTATTACTTGTTTTATAATTGAGGAAACTGAGGCACCAATTTAATGACTTGCCTAGTATATCCAGCTGGTAACTAGACGTGGTATTAAAATGTAACTGTTTAATTCCTTATCCAGAACTTTTCTGTGGCTAGAAAGAAAAATACTATAATGCCTGCCTCTACCATACAAAACCAGGCATGAGCTGGTTTGGGGAATTCTATACATCTAACCCTGACTTGCCTCATCAGTATCTTTTCTTCATACTCTGCTTTAAGGTCATTTTCCCAAGTGAATGAAGCATCCAAATCTGTTTACTACACTGAATGAACATCCTTCTCTGGTTTATATGCCTAAACTTTCTTCTCCACATAGATTAATATAACCCTTTCCCTGAATCAGGGTCAGTTGCATTCACATTTATTACTGAACTGTACTACACTACAGCATTCAGCTATGATCCCACCATGTCCTTTGAAAACTATCAAATTAAAAAGACAATCTGCCCCTTCATTTAATGGCGTACCCTGTATGCATGGTCACTGCAGCTTCTCCTTTCCTATTAGTAGCACTTTCTGCTGGTTTCATTACTTTAACCTTCCCAAGCACCAATCCCCTCTACTAACCGTGCTGCTTCTAACTTCCACATGGACCGAGGGATCAGAAAATTAATGTATTAGAATTTAGAGTCCCTCTATTTAGTAAAGTACAAAAGCTTTAATTCTCATGTTCTTGTCTGTTCAGTGGTCTTCCTAAGGTTCAATGCTATCTGGGTTCAAGTAACTGACCTTCAAATTACACATGTGGCAAAAACCCTCAAATTATTTATTGAGTTTTGGGTTTTCTTTGAATAAAGTAATATTCACTTAACAAAAGATTATCTTTGGTTCCCAACACAAAAATAATAATAGGATCTTATTACTAGCTTGTAGAATAGGGACCCACACATTACATTTAAAATAATTTTCTCAAACTGAAAAACAGAGGTTAAGAAATTAAGAAAAAAAAATTACAAAGAATAGAGCAAATATAAACCTTTCCATTCTGGTTGTTCTTCATAATCTGTTGAATCATGCAGTAAATTAAGGGATGGAAAAGAAAATGGTTTTTTAAAAGCAGTGTAGGCTACACAACATGACACTTTTCTACCATATATAACTTATCTGAAAATTTTCCTTTAAATATTAGCCATAAATTATTAAAGACACACTTTATAATTATAAAAGAAAATTTAAATACAAAAGACATCAACAACAGAAAAATGCTTTAGATTGCACCTAAAACTTTTTTCCTGCCTAAACAGAAAATCTGATGAAATCCAATTTTAATGTTTTTTTAAAGATTTTATTTATTTATTTGACAGAGAGAGAGATCACAAGTAGGCAGAGAGGCAGGCAGAGAGAGAGGGGGAAGCAGGCTCCCCACTGAGCAGAGAGCATGATGCAGGCCTCGATCCCAGGACCCTGGGATCATAACCTGAGCGGAAGGCAGAGGCTTAATCCACTGAGCCACCCGGGCGCCCCTGAAATTCAATTTTAATAGAAGTACTTGATTATTGGTGAGAAGTCCTATGAAAACAATCACTTGTGACTGAATATCAAAGGTAAATTATAGGACATACCTATTGCCAAAATAAGATTAAAATCCTATTACTTGATTAAATGTTAATATTTTTCTGTTGGTATTACGTAAGAAATTAGGAATACCAATATTCTTATTTTTACAACTATCGAGTTTCACAATGGCCTGATTAGGAATCTCTGATCTATGTCTAAATTGAATCATTTTCTTCTACTTTAAGGACAGGATACATTTGAGTCTGTACAATAAAAATAGTACCACTATTAAGCATTTCCTATGTGCTAGGCAACACTCTAAGCATTTTCCATCTGGGAATTCCTTCCATCCTCACAGCAACGCTGTGAGACGAGAAGGCTGAGGCTTCAAGAAGATAAGCAGCTTTCCTACAACAGAGTGCACATACATGGGCAAGGGTGTCCGAGTTCATATTATCATGCTAGATCACCTCCTGTTTTAGAGCACTGGATTCCAGAACTTTAGAGTACATTTTCTAGATTTCATCCTTCCACACTGCCAACATCGTTCAGCTTAAAAATAAAAAAAAAATCATTGGAGAACTCATCAACACTTTCAAGTTCCTTAGAATAAAATCTATTTATGATTTATACATGACCATATGAATGGTCAAACAGCATCCTGTTTTGTTGACATGTTTTAGGAGTATGGTACGTAAGAACAGATAGCCCAGAAAAATATCTCCTAAACTTCCAGAAAGGACTGTAGCAATTAAAGCTAATATAAACAAATCTTTACCAATTATTTGACATTTTAGGTAATTTTTAATTGGCCCCTCACTACCTTCAATCTTCCAAAAAGCCCAAACAAAACTCTAATAAAATGTAATTAAAAAACCAACTAAATATAAACCCTCCACATATTTAAGCAGTTTAGTTTTACTCTTATTTCATTCAAAAAACAATGAAACTCAAATAAAAACAGCCCCCACGATGTTCTCCCTTTGGCAAAAAAATAAATAAAATTTTTTTAACAGCCCATAGACTATCACATTTATTCCATCGAAGTATATGGAAATTTTCAGTTCATCATCTGTTTCTTATTAACATTCAATGAGTTGTTTGTTTTTAAAAAATAAGAACACAAACAAAAGAAGACAAAACCTGGAATCGGGAAAAATAAAAGCTTATATTAGCCAAAGATCTGCACCAAGAAGCAAATAAAACCTTCCATGTAACTTTTCCTAAAAATCAGAACACCTCATATTCCCTGTGGAAAAGAAATGACATTTTAAATACAAAGACATAAGGATTTACTATAGCTCTTGTCCATATGTTTTTTTTAGTATTTAAATTTCCACAGTATTTAGATTTAGAATAGTAGTATTTTTCTACCATAGCATGTTCATTCTTTTAAAATTTACTTTAATGACACCTTGAAAAATTAAACGATACTTTAAAACCCAATAGTTTCTTGCATAGTCGTGAACATTTCTGGTATGACTTGTGTGAGAAATCACTAAAGCATTTCAAGACCTTTTATAAAAAACAGAATGATAGCCACATCAAAGATCCAAGGGAATTTAATTACTATATGGTCAGCAAATGGTTATAATCATTTCCGATATAATTAGTTCTCAATATTCAAGTCTGATAGAATGTCTCTTCTTTAAAGATCATTTTTTAAATTCCCATTAGAAATTAATCTGTGTTAGAAACGACACCAACGGAAACAAGAGAATTTTTACAAGGGATAAGCTTGAATACAGGGAATAAAGTGAAGTATAAAAAAAACTATGATGCCAGCAATAGAAGACGTCCAAATTCTTGTGATCCTACTCAAGAACCAGATTCCATGATAACCACAACAGAAGAAACTAACTATTCTGGGTAGGAGGAAATAGCAAGAAACAACTCTGAAATAAATAAAATGGCCAAAACACTGACAATATAAAACCACCCACTGAATTTTGCACAATTTCCCATAAACCTCAAATAAATAAGCTTTTAACCAAAACACCATCACTGTTATCACAGCGAGCATTATGTATCCACGGAGGGATACTAAATGCCGATATAAACTACAAATTTAATAAACTGTAAGTGAGAAGCTAAAAGAAAAAGTATGTTAATGCCTGATACTTAAATAAGCAAGAAATAAAACCAAAGCGACAGACCGAAAAAGAGGCACAAGTTTTCAAAACACACAGAGATAAAGTAATATTTGGAAAAATCTTACATAACCGATCGAGTGATCTAATTCTGAAGGCTCCGTGGCACATACTGTATGCGAAATGACTAAAAATGGTCTGTGACCTAATAAATTTCGACATTTTCCTGTTGCTACTCTCATACAAAGAAAGAAGAGAACCGATTTTTGTTATTCCCGGTAAAACATCAGGAGGTGGCAATGGACTTTTTCAGAAAAACCCAAGGCCCAGAAAGAACTGATACATTCAAATAACACAACTGAAAATATATTTCTCGGTGTTCATACCAAAGCCTCTTCTGAGACAACCATCTCCTCCTACATGGAAGAAAGTTTATTTTAACGGCACCGCGGAAGGAGGGAGAGTAACACCAAGCGGATCTCAGTAAGTACCACTCTCACCCACAGCACGAACAACTGCGGTGACCCGTGGGAAATCCCCTGCCATGATTTACTTACCTCCACCGCCTGCATCCTGCTCCTCGCCTTCAGGAAACGCAACCGGGCTTGGCAAGCTATTCCTCGACCGAGTGACCGTCTCTAACTGGGAAGCCCGGCCCAATAAAGATAGCTCATCTAGCACCTCTCCCTCTTTGGCCTCGAGATCTGATTTTGAAGTGGTTAAGGGTTTTATACTTTCGGGTGCCATCAGCCTGTTGGAGTCATTCAAACACGCCACCGTGCCACTGTCCAGGCTCAACACCCGGGCCCGAGTCTTGGCACTGTTTGTGCTGGAAGTCCGACGTGCTGTCCGCTTTTTGCCAGCCCCGTCAGGACCCAGGTGGGCTTTGTGTGCGTGCTCGGAGTCAGCACCCCTTTCTTTAGGGACGTGTTTGGTCTTTAGGGCACTGTACCTGCCCTCAGGAGACTGACACGAATGAGAAGTGGTGCTAGAAGAGCTATCGCTGCTGAACTGGTGGGCAGACTGAACACTCGACGCTCTGCTCAAGTCACTTTGGTCACTCGAGTCCTCGTCGTGACAGAATATAGCACTATGTGGCTTTGTGCCAGCAACACCTCGAAAGGAAACATAGTCCCTGTGCCGACTTGAATCGAAACTGCTGGCTCGTTTTTTCCCTGTCCGTCTCCGGCCTGATTTATGGGCAGAGGCTGTCCGGTGGATCAAGCTCGACGATTTAGGCCGTACGTCCCCTTCCTTTTGCTTTCCACTACTGTCTTTAGCAACTTTGGTGTCCCCTGGAACAGCAGACTTCTCACTCTGCTCCTCTTTGTCTTCGGCAGTTTTCTCGAGTGGTCTGTCCTCCTGTGATGTAAACTCGTTCGCGTGGGGATTTTTATTGGCTTCTTCCGACGCAGAGGTGCTGAGGCCTCTCTGATTGTGCACGTCATCGGAGGTACTGGACTCCTTGGGCTCTTGAACCCCACTGTTGGTACTCACTTCCACGGCGGTCTTCTCGCTGCTAGTCCTTTTGTCACTGGTACAGCTACTCTTGTCCTCTGGGTCAGCACAGCCCTCTTTCTTCCTGCCACCTTTCTTTCCTCCTCTAGGAGACTCCTCATGCTCCGACAGGATGCTCTCTACGTGAGTTGAGCTGGTCTGCTCACTTTTGTAGCTGCTGACCGTACTGTTGGTGTCACGGTCCGTCCCACTGCAGTAGCTCTCTGTTGACCCGCTACTCCGCGTGCTCAGGCTCCTCAGGCTGTCCATGCTTTTGTCTGCTTTCAAAGGTTTGCTCTTCCCACTTCTTGGAGGTGGCTGAGAATTACTGTTTTTCAGCTCACCAACAAGCTGAAATTCCCCAGACAAACAAGAATTTTCCACCAAGGATTCTTTGGATCCAGAATGAGGCTTGGAAGATTCTAACTCACTAACTGGATCCAAGCCCCGTCTTTGCTGATAGAGGGGGAAGTCATTCAGGGAAGTGTCTGGGAAAGCCACCGCAGAGCTAGAAGTCCGTGGTACCCCTCGTGGCCGGTGATCTTTTCTGTAAGAGTGTGAATGTAAAGGGACGAGAGAAGCTACTTCCGTATCACAGGCATTGGACAGAGACTGATCGATGTGGTGGTGGTGGCTGTGACTAGGCAAGCTCACTTTGTCACTGAAGTCCCTTGGTAAGTCCTGCCCACAGGAGGATAAGGAAGGCTGAATGGAGATGAAGGAATCATTGGAGACCAGACGGAAGAGCTTCCGATCAGTTGCCAGATCTGTTGCAAACACATATTTGGAAATGTTAACAAAAATCTATCATCTGCTTTTTACTGCTTAACAATGGAAAGAACTCACACCACACCGAAAAACGAGGAAAAACAAGTTCCCAAGTAGTTCACTGAATTAAAGTTGGCCAGTCATTCCAAAGAGCTGGTTTCTATTTCACAGCTGCACAAAGAGAGCATTCTACTGACAGAATGAACTAAATCTCTAAATCCTCGAATGGCCGGAGAAAAGGTTTCATAGACTATCAACAATAAGAGGCAACCCAGCATTATATTTAAAACAGCCCTGGATTTTTTCTTTCATAAAGATTTTATCTGAAGTAATTTCTACACCCACTGTGGGGCTTGAACTTACTCTCCCGAGATCAAGAATCACACACTCCACCGAATGAGCCAGCCCGGTGCCCCAAAAAGCGGCCCTGGATTTTTATGTAAAGTGTGTCTCTAGCTTACTAACTGCATAGCCTTGGGTTACCTTTCCAAGCCTTGGTTTCCTCTCTATAAAACAGGACCTCAGAATCATTAAGTAGCACCATGAAATAACTGAGTTAACGTGCTTTAGCATATATACGACTTGGCACAATGCCTGACACGATTAACAGTAGCTACACTGTTTTAGTTCACTAACACAATACAAAATCTTTTTTGAAAAACTAATGTGATTACCTTATTAAAAAGAAAACCCTAGAAAGAGGAAAAAAAAAAATGAAAGGCTGAACAATCCCCAAGGAAGACACGATACAATGATGTAAGATTTTGCTGTTCACAATGACCAAAAAGATTAAAATAGTTGTGGAGCAAAATATACTTTCTCTTTCATCATTCATGCAACAATTACAAAATACCTCATGAAAAACTACATTATCCTTGTCAGACTATTCCTCTAACCCTCCACTTAGGGCAGTGATTAGTGACTTGAATTTCCATACTCACTATGTACACAGATATAAATAAATTCACCTACCTAACTACATTGTAATTCTCTTGAAACACAGCCTGGCAACTGATCTGTACGACAGCTGACTTTTTATACACTTTTGACAGACAAGTATAGCTGAATCTGCTGTTAGTTCAATAAAAAGAAAAATGACTATTTTATTTGTTAAAAGTGCATAGTAAAAACACAATGATAGATTCTGCAGTTAAGTCAGACCCCTCTCAGGAGAATCTCAATAATAAAAGCATACCCTTCCCAAGATTGATATAAAATAAAAATGAATTACTAGAAATGTGTGGGTACTTTTAAAAAACCTAAACCTAGACAGGAGAATCTCAATAATAAAAGCATACCCTTCCCAAGATTGATATAAAATAAAAATGAATTACTAGAAATGTGTGGGTACTTTTAAAAAACCTAAACCTAGACTAGATTTAAATAATTAAAAACTTAGAAACAGCCTCTAGAATATACCACATAAATTGATATATAAATTGGGTTTTAAAGTCTTCAGCTTTAAGTAAAATTCATGTTCTTTATCCAGAACAGCTGGCACTGTACTTGGGTTCTAAATATCAAAATTTAGGGGCGCCTGGGTGGCTCAGTGGGTTAAAGCCTCTGCCTTCGGCTCAGGTCATGATCCCAGGGTCCTGGGATTGAGCCCCACATCGGGCTCTCTGCTCAGCGGGGAGCCTGCTTCCTCCTCTCTCTCTGCCTGCCTCTCTGCCTACTTGTGATCTCTGTCAAATAAATAAATAAAATCTTTAAAAAAAAAAATCAAAATTTAAAGTTAGCATATTTAATCTTTTGTAATATTAAATTATAAAGTTATTTCTAAAAACTCTCTATAGCTCTACTAAGCAATTAGAAATAGTGGATTCATATTTCAAAGTTATGGATTTTATAGAACAAAAACTTAACTGAACAAGTAACTGAAAATCATTAATTCTAATATACAAGAAAAAACTTTTTTAAAAAATGCTAATAACCAAAACCAATTCCCTTCTAAGACATTAATAAACCAGAAATATAAGTTTTCATTTAAAAAGACACAGCCAAACTTACTGTAATACATGTACTCTTTTCAATGTGGCTAAATATACCATAAAAAATTTTAATCTTATCAGGAAGAACTTTAGGTGGTTTTAGGAAATTTTCAAATAAATATGCTTGCTTGGATGTTTTTCTTACTGGTAGCAATATAGTCAAAGACAGGCTCAAATCAACACAAAGAGATACTATTTTTCATAAGCAAACTTTTTTTCAATGACTGCTACTTCCTGGCATTTAGGATAAGAAAGGCATGCGCACATGCTGCTTGTCCTGGTGCAAACTGGTGTAACCTTCTATAAAGCAATCTAGCAATATGGCCAAAAGTCTTCCAAAGATATACTCACCCATTATCACTCATCTTTTTCTAGAAATTGCTGCTAAAGGATAAAATCAGGTATGTATATAAAGTTTTGGCCACAAATTGTTCTTTTCCGATTATTATAAAACTTAAAACCTTAAAGTATTAAAATGTCCAATAAAAAAAGGTTGAATAAACTAGACTATTAAAACATCACACAGGCACTAAAAATGTTTTCAAAGATTACATACTCATATGAGAAAAAGTAGTTTAGTGAAAATGATGATACTATATAAAAAGTATGGTTCCAATCTATAAGAGTTAAAAATATTGAGTATATTTGCATATGTGTATAGGAATATTAAAGGTAAGATACCTACGGCATAAAAGTCCTGACATGCTATGTAACATGCTAAGTCAAGGAAGCCAGACACAAAAAACCACATATCCTATAATCCCATTTATATGAAATATACAGAATAGGCAAATGCATAGAGACAGAAAATAGATCAGTGGTTGCCAGGGGCTGGGGGTCAGAGGAAATGGGGAGTGTAATGGGTATGGGTTTCTTGTTGGGGTGACAAAAATGTTCTGGAATTGGATAGTGGTGATGAGCATACAACCATGTGAAATTACTAAAAATTACTGAATTGTATACTTTTTTTTTTTAAAGATTTTATTTATTTATTTGACAGACAGAGATCACAAGTAGGCAGAGAGGCAGGGAGAGAGATAGAGGGGGAAGCAGGCTCCCTGCTGAGCAGAGATCCTGATGTGGGAACAGGCAGGGCTCAATCCCAGAACCCTGGGATCATGACCTGAGCCGAAGGCAGAAGCTTTAACCCACTGAGCCACCCAGGCACCCCTGAATTGTATACTTTAGAAGAGTGAACTCTGGGACACCTGGGTGGCTTAGTCAGTTAAGCATCTGTCTTCAGCTCAGGTCATGGTCCCAGGGCCTGGGATCGAGCCCTGCCTGTTCCTTCCTCTCTCTCTCTGCCTGCAGCTCCCCCTGCTTGTGCTCTCTCTCTTACTATCCCTCTCCCTCTATGTGTCAAATAAATAAAATCTTAAAAAAAAAAAAAAGTGAATTCATAGTATATGAATTATATCACAATACAAAAATAATTTTTTAAAGTGATGCACCAAAAAACATTATTTTGGTGTCAAAAGTGTGAATTATTTTCTTCATATTAACTATTTTTTTCTAAAATTAACATATGTTACTTTCCTAAACAAAAACCACATTTCCTCCTCTCTTCTGGATCATCTCCATCAATTATAAAAACAAGCTGTTCTCTTACGCATTCTTACAAAATCCAAATCTCTCCTTTATCCTCCCTTCCCCTTCTGGCTTTCACCTTCCATCTCTGACCCTCTTACACAAATTCACCAAAAATAGTCTGTATTGCCTCTTTTCAGTTCTCCTCTAATTCTCTCCTACTTGTATTCTGACCCCTCTCATGAATATGCTTATCAAGGTCACCAACAACCTCTGCACTGCTAATCTCAATGTCAAGTCTCAGTCTCATATCACCTGGCTTATGAGTAATGTCTGACAAAGCTGACCACAGCACTCTCCTTGAAAAACTGGCATACAACACTCTAGGTCTTCCTGCACCCCACCAGTTGCTCCTACTCAGTCTCCTGCACCTATTTTTTTTTTAATTTTTAATTTTTATTTTTTTTTAATTTTTTATTATCATGTATTATTAGCCCAGGGGTACAGGTCTGTGAATCGCCAGGTTTACACACTTCATAGCACATACCTTCCCCAATGTCCATAACCCCACCACCCTCTCCCTACCCCCCCACCCCCTGGCAACCCTCAGTTTGTTTTGTGAGATTAAGAGTCTCTTATGGCTTGTCTCCCTGCCAATCCCATCTTTTTCATTTATTCTTTTCCTACCCCCAAACCCCCCACATCGCCTCTCAACTTCCTCATATCAGGGAGATCATATGATAATTGTCTTTCTCTGATTGACTTATTTCGCTAAGCATAATACCCTCTAGTTCTCCTGTACCTAACAAACTGGAGCGGCTCAAAGTTCAATCCTGGGAACTTCTCATTCCATCTATACATCCTCTTTTCTATCTCTCGTCCAGTATTCTGGTCCCCTGATAACTAAAATTCAGGAATCCTTGTAACTAGTTTCCTCCATCTTCTAGCCAGCCCCCACGCTCATACGGGAATAGGCTAACATACTGATCTTAGGTAAGGAAAACATGAGTGTGGCCGGAGAGGGAAACTGTACGTAAGTCCTTCTTCACAGTGAAAAAAGCAGAACCCACATCCCTACATCCTCAGGTCACACTCAATCACACTGAATCATGTTGATAAAAGGAGTGCCAACTAATCACTAACCGCCAACCAACTAGAGGTCGCTATCCTGTAAACCCAAACCAGCTAGAGAACTTAATGCGCCCCAACTGATAATTAAGCCAGAATGAACATCTGCCACTAGGTGGTGCCAAATCACAGCTGCGACCAACAAATTTGGATCAGGACGGGTGGGCAGGACACGGGAATTCCAGGTTAGGCTAACCATGCCGGCTTGCCAGTTAGTTTATGAACTTCATGATAACCCATTTTGCTGGTATCTATACACTGAAAACTCCTAGTTTCAAAATCTCAACCCATACTTCTTAAATGAAGTCCAGACCTAATTATATACTAATTACTGCCACTTGGAGATCTAACAACATCTCAGACTGATGTGCCCAAAACTGACCTCCCTATCTTACCCTGATCCCTGCTTCTAAATCTGCTCCTTTTCAGTTTTCCCCCTTCTCATCTTCCCCATCACTTAACTCAAACACCTTACAGTCATCCCATGAGTACTATTTCTCTCACATAATGTATCCATCAACATCAAGATGGCCTCTCATTAATATCTTCTACATACACAATCAGACTACTTCTCACTGCCCTCATCTGTGCCCTGGATTACTGTAATCATCCACTAACTGGGCTTCCTGATTCAGCCTCTGCCCTTTTTAATCTCAACACAGGAGCCACAGTGATTCTGTAAAACTGTAACTGACATCACGACACTCTTTCTGCTCAAAACCCTTTGGCAGTTGCTCATCTCACTGGGAATTAAAGCCACATCTTTATTTTTTTTTAAGATTTTATTTCTTTATTTATTTGAGAGACAGAGAGCACACGCATGAGAGAGAGAGCATGGGGGTGGGGGGATCGGGCAGCAGAGAGAGAGAGAGGGAAAAGCAGTCTCCCAGGATTCCAGGATCAGACCTGGGCCAAAGGCAGATGCCCCACCAACTGAGCCACCCAGGTACCCAAAACCAGAGTCTTTAAAATGGCTTACAAGGCTATGCAATTTGTCCCCTTACTTACTTTACACCAACCACACAATTTCTCAAACCTGACAGGCATGTTGTAACTTTAAGACTCTTGCCGATGCCGTTACCTCTGCATAGAGTCTCTCCCTCCAAATACCCTGATAGCTCACTCCTTCACCTCCTTCAGATCTTTGCTTCTGGCAAGGCTTTCTCCCCTTGACCACTCCATTTAAACTAAAACCCTCCCAGTCCCCACCATTCCCTATCCTCTGTCCCTACGACTGCATACAGATCTGACTTATACTAGCATGATTCCATACTAGTAGTATAGAAGCCACATAACGTTAGAATTTTTTGTCAGTTCACTGATTTATTTCCGGTACTTAGAATGGGGTGCTCTGAGCACATAATGAGTACTAAATAGTATCTTTTAAATGTTATCTTTGTGTGTTATCTGCTGAATGTTTAATGTTATCATATTAAAATGATAGAAGTTACAAAACTATCTAAAAGTGGTGTAACAGAAATTGAAAGCATGATTCAAAACTAGACTTCAATGATAGGACTGCCATTTTGTACCTATCTGACTTTGGGCAAGTTTCTTATAACCTCTAAGCCATGATATGTTCATCTGTAATGTGAGAATCATATTATTAACCTCAAATGCTTATAGTGAAGGTTGTGTGTATGCTTATAAAATGCTTAAAAGAAGACCTAAACCAACAGGTGACAAACTAAGAGCCATTGAGCCAACTTGGCCCTCTGCCTGCTTCTGAAAAGGCTTTAGTGTAACACAACCATGCGCACTCATTTACGTGCTGTTTATGGCTCCTTGTGCACGCTACAATGGCAGTGAAGTAGTTGCAAAAGAGACCATATGGCCTACAAAGCTATCTGACCACTTACGAAGAAGTTTGCTGACCCCTAGCCTAAATAATAGTGTGTGCTCGGTAAGTGTCAGACATCACTGTCTACGTCGATATGAATCTGCAGGAGAGGCTTGTGTGCATATAATTCCCAACACAAAAGACTACAAAACTCTTGCTTATGCGTGGTACTTTCCAGATACAAAATAAAGAAATAGGACCCTAAATGCAGTGGCACTAGCCCAAGATCATTACCTAATTTTTGAGACATTCTAATGATTATATATCACAGAAAACAATACTGTAATTCTCAAACTTATCAATTCACCTTAACCTTTTATAAGAAAATAGTTTCTATATTATATAGTGTGTTTGGAAGTTTTTTACAGGGGAGGGGTATGTTGGCAGGAGTAGTCCATAAAAGAAAATAAATGATGGGGTACTGCAATTCCAAAAAGCAGTTATAGCACAATAAACTTACATTCCAAGTACCTGGAACAAAACATGCTTGTAAGAATTGGTTGTTAAGAATTGCTTGTAAAATATTAAATAGGAAAATGTCATAATTTAGAAAGCTATTTGTAACTATAAATAAATTTCCTGTACTTAATTATGAAACTTATCAGCCTGCCTGCCTTCCAAAAAAATCACACATAGGCCAATAAAAACAACAGGTTAGAAACAGGGAAACAGGTTTCTGTCTCACTGATTATGTAACTTGGGATAATCTCCATTTGAAAAATGGAATAACATATCCATCCTTTCATGTCTGAAAATTAAAAATGAAACATAAAAATGTGACATTCTTAAAAAAAAAAACAACAAACTCCATTAAATCCAAAATACTCATTTATAAGGAATTGAATAAGGAGAGAAGGAAAAACACTTAAAGCCCAAATTTCCATTAAAAATCTGCTACAGGAGGCACCATGTCAGAGGCAGACACAGTTTCTCTCTAAGTCCAACAAGTTAGTTCTCTATTAAAACATACTGTCGGGTAAGATATAGAGCAACTAACATTTAGAGGTCATACTGGATGGAAAGTAACAGTCTTACATACTAGGTTACTAAACTAGGCAAGATGCTCTGACCCACTACAGACTAGCAGATTATCTCCCATCTCACACTCACTCCAGGGCACAGGCTCATAAAATTTTTCTCTCCATGTCGACTTGGCAGAACATGTGTAACTGAATTCCAGAAAGCTAAAAGTACTTATAACACTGTTTTACTATTATCCTAGTTAATAACTTTATTTTAATGTTGCTTAAAGATATCATATTAAATTATTATAAACTTCTGCCAAAATCAAACAGCATATTCTACAACTCACCGTGGCCACCACAATATATAACATCAGTGTGAAGTATAATGTTCTTACCTTGTTCTTCACTTCCTTCCTTACAAAGACTAGAGCTCTGGCCCAGACTTAAACTGATATCATCAGACGTCTTAGCGGTGTCTGTATCTCCTACGAAGTTAAGAGAAACATGTGAACACATTATTTTAAAAGTAAAGTCTGTACAGGGTGGCATAACAAGGAAGGATATCAACTACACTAGTTTACTATATACTATACTGGCATATGATGTCTATGAGAGCAGATTTTGCATACCATGGGTTGCGATAATGGATGACGCACTGAACTAATGGGAAGCATCATGGACTATGAGACCACATCTTTATTCTCACAGCACTATAAACCAAATAATACAAAAAGCTTCATATGGTTAGCTAATAAAGCTTTCTTTAAAAAGAAGCACTTTCTTAAAAGAAATGGAAATTATGTAATAACAAAACACTATACATTGCCTTCCCCAGGAAAATTATATAAATGCCCCTAAAAAAGTATAGAGTAAAAAAATTTATCTGAAATAGATGCAAGTAAAAGGTATATGTGAGATGTACAGAAAACATTTTCCCTCTTTTTTACTGTATTATTTGTACCCAATTTAAAGGTTTCACATTAAATTACTCGGTTTTCCACATATCTCACCAAAACCCATGAAAAGTATTGTCTTTCAAGGCAGAAAGTTTCTTATATATCACAACCTATAATTCACACAATGTAATGCAAATATTCAAAGATGTCTGTGAGATTTGGATGGTGAAAGGAGAATCCAATATAAATCAAGTAACCTTTAACATAAGATACATAACTGCATCTACAAATTAATTTCAAGAATGATCTTTCATGACATGTGAATATATAGTATTCAGTTTTCTTTATTACGTCAAAAATGCAATGGAATGTCACAGGCAACTTTCAACTTAGATAATGTCTACCTTTAATAGTTGCTGCTGTTCCAAGACGAGAGGAACCAGATCCAATCTGAAAATATGATATTAAGGAAAACTAATTAAAATGCTATGTCATTATCAATATGGCCTAGCAAGATCATCAGGCTAAACAATCATATTATCAAAACACACTATCAGTCACTTATATAGAAAGATACGCGCGGCGCACGCTGCCTCAGAGCCACATAACCTGTTTGCTGCGGCACATTCTGCACGTCTGCTGTAGATGTGCTAGGGCACGGAGTCCCTTTGCTTGCTCAGGACTGACGGGGCCCACAGAGCGGGATGCCTCCTCCAACACCCAGCAGTCCACGACATACAATTACTAACTTTTTTTTATTATATCATGACATGCTCATATTAGAGATAAAAGCAAAACCCGGTGTTAAGTCTATCTGAAACAAATTTAGACTTATCAGGGCATGTAAAAGGAAGCTTTGGGACAAAACATTAACATATGTTACAAACAGCAACCTAAATCTTACTGTCAATTGTTACTGTATCAATATGCACTTTCCTGAGTTCTAGACAAAAGTAAGTACTTCTTTGTTGACCACTATAACATATTTAAAAAGAATAAAACACTAAAGGATCCAAGTAAAATGACTGTTTAGCACGAACTATAAATAGACAACTAAAACCTACTGAGCTTTTAATGCTTATATTCAGATGATATAACACCTCCCTAAAATCTTAGCCTTCATTCATTATACCACCATAAAAATCATATAAACAAATACCACAAACTCCACAAACACATTAAGGAAATCAAACATAACAACATGACAGTTACTAAATCCACAAGTCTTAGTAAATTTCTATAACCTGTTTTCAAGGGATTTAAGAAGAACACAGTCAAGCAAATTTAATATTTTAGAATAAAATTAATATTCATATAATACTTTGTATTTTACCAAATCCTTTGTTTTTGTTTTTTTTTTTTTAAGATTTCATTTTTTAAGTAATCTCTACATCCAACTGGGGCTCAAACTCACAACCCTAAGATCAAGAGTTATACATGCTCTCCTATCTGAGTCAGCCAGGCAGTCCCCAAATCTTTCCTTTCTTTGATTCAACTGATAGAAGTATACAATAAGAAACTTGCTCAAAATATAAGTTAATATTGAGTTTGAAGGGACATGAGAGTCCTTCTTGATCTGGATGGCAATTAAAAGGTATATACGTATATAAAAACCCACTGTGCTGTACACTTAAGTGTATACTATGCTGTATGATAGTTTTAGGTCACTGAAAAAGTCAGTAAAAACAAACATATACATGGGGCACCTGGGTGGCTCAGTGGGTTAAGCCGCTGCCTTCGGCTCAGGTCATGATCTCAAGGGTCTTGGGATCGAGCCCCGCATCGGGCTCTCTGCTCAGCAGGGAGCCTGCTTCCTCCTCTCTCTCTGCCTGCCTCTCTGCCTGCTTGTGATCTCTGTCTGTCAAAAAAAAAAAAAAAATCTTTAAAAAAAAAAAAAAAAAAAAAAAAAAAACAAACATATACAAACAGGTTAGAACTAGCGCCTTTTGATGTGGCCAATAAAAAAAAATGAGTTTTGCAACATTATTTGATCACTTTATTAAGCTGACGCTCCTGATTTTTTCCTAAGTTCTGCTTTCAATTAGCCATAAAACGCACTGCAACTAAACAGAAACAAGCCAAAAAGCATTTTACTGCAAAATAAAATTTCATGTTTATCACACCTGGTAGGTAAGTTATAGAATTAATATACACTATTTTTCACTAGTATAATACATATAGCTTCCTAGACAAAAAAAAAAAAAAAAAAAGCAAACAAACAAAAAACACATTTTATAAGCACACCCTTCTAGAAATTTAAACCTAAAAAACAACTTTTGAATACTGGTATACTAGTCATTTGCCTACAACCACAAAGTGTTCCCTTTTCTTTCCTTAACAAGCTTCCTACTTTGTTCAGATGTTGGGTGTGTATCTTTTGATCTACAAAAAGTGGGCCCTGGTTTTGGTCGGTGAACGTGTGCGAGAGTCTGCTGGCGGGCTTCAGGGAAAGATCTCTACATGCCTGAGAAGACGACAAGCAAGCGCAACTCTGCCCACACTGTTGCCTGCTTCTTACCTTTTGACAGGGTCATGACTGACACTGCAGTGCTCATCCCACAATCTGGAGGGAAAAGCCAACCCAAGACCTAACATGACTGAATGGCTGAACAAATGGCCCACAGCCGCCTTCAGTCTTGGAGGACAAACACAGACTCTCATTTCTTTGAGTCACTTAATTAGTTGAGTTCTATTGCTTGCTGACAAAGCATTCTTAATGGATACAATGGTGGTTATATTTTAATCTTCATGCTTTTCCATATTATTTAAATTTATCCCCACCAAATATAAAAGAGTCAGGACTATTTATGTCTGAAACAGAGGACTCAGAATACAGTACATCCAAATAGGGGAATGCATTCCCCCAAAATGTCACTGTAGAAAAACACTGAATGTCATTAACATTCATGATATATTCAACAAAGAAAATCAAGTTCCAAACAGCATGAACACTATAATCCCAACTTTTTAAAAAATGGTTTTTGATTATGACATTAGGGATGATTTTATTTTCTTCTGTTTGCTTTCCCTCAATAGCTATTTTTCTAAAAATGAGCACATTTAGAAAAGGAAAATTTTACAGAAAAAAGGTGTTCTGCACCAAGCAGAATGGTTCAGTTGTTTCTTCTCTTTGGTAAGTGCCACAGGAAAGGTCAGGAAGGATTATGGGTGTCAGAGAAGAAAAATTCTTCCAACTATATAACAATCTGGCAAATCTTTGCCCCTCCTTCTAGCTGGAAACAATTATTCTCTCCTCTAAAATCATTAGCCCCTTTTCTGTACCATTCCTATGACAATTACTACTTTGTATCTTAGACTTACATTTCCTTGGTAACATACATCGTATTTATAACTTTGGTTACTTACAACACATCTACCCTGGCACTGTAAACTCTGTGATGGTAAGACCCATTCCCCACTCCATTCAAATAAATTGACTTGAAAGCTATTGGGCACTAAAATATATGAGGGAAGACAAGTGATAAAAGGAAAGGGAGGTACAGGGTAATAAAAAACAAGAAAAAAGAAAGGGAAAGGAAATAGAATAGAAGATGGAAGACAGAAGGGCAGAGGCGGCAAGAAGGAAAGAATGATAATGGCTAAGACACAGCCACCATACTCAAGTTCACTACCCAGTAGAGAAGACATTACATAAACAACTATGATAATGTTTAGTAAGTGTCATATAATAAAACATGGACAAGAAGCACAGTGTGTCTACTGGTAATAAATGGGATAAAACTAAAACGCCAAAATCCAAGTAACACAGTAACTTCCATTATTTGCCCATTTTTATTCAAGAGTTAATATTTTAAGAAAAATCAAATTGGGTATGTTGCATATTTATGTCCAGACAAGCTTTAATGACACTCAGGATGGGAGTCCCTCCCTAAAAAAGTAGGGGAAGTTCCAATAGACACGATGCCATGATAGAGCTACTGAAGATGGCTGGCTACTGCTGCTCCCTTTCAACTGTCCTACTGGAAAGAAGGAAAAAAAAAAAGTTTGGCTCTCCAAAAGACTCTGGGAAAAACATACACTTAACTCCCTCGGTAATCGGACATTGCCAACATCTGTCAGTATGGACAAAGGCCAGCGTTAATTAAGCATACAAAACACACAGCCATATTTAAAGATTAAGCCATTTCATTTCATAAAGAGACTGGGAAACCAAAGCCAACCAAAAGAGGATCAAGGATAGTAATACTTCTCTTCAAACTGATATTGTAAAAATTGAAACTTAAAAGGTATGGATGTAATTAAAATGTCACAGCCCTTTGCAATAATGTTTCTTTTTTATTTTACTTACTTTCTGAGAGAGAGAGAGAGAGAGAGAGAGAAAATACACTTGGGCAGGGGGGTGGGGCACAGGAAACGGGAGAGAGAGAATCCTGAGCTCAGGGCTCGAGCTCACAACCCTGAGATCATGAACTGAGCTGAAATCAAGAGTCTGACACTTAACCAATGGACCCACCACCCAGGCATCCCACCATTGTTGTTGTTTTTTAACTCTAACATTTCCCATTGGCTTGTTACAGAAAGAAGACAAATTTAAGGACATATCTGTTCTATACCACACTGAATCAAAACTAAAATTGTGACCAAAAATTCATGCACTTTAAGTTTAAATCATGAAACACAATTCAAACAGAGGCAAATCTATCAAAATATATTAGGAAACAAAACCCTAGTCAAGATTTTGATTCACAGAATATGGTGTTTTCCCCAATATTTTTCCAAAGCAGCGTAGGGCTAAACTAGGTGGAACAGTAATACTGTGAAACAGTCGGGATAACTAAGTCCGCTACCTCATTATTTGTTAAACGAAGTGCCAGGTCAGCTTCTATCTCTAAAGTTCTATTATCTGTATAGATAAAGATAATTAGCACCTGTTCACTGAAAGTCAACTATGCACAAGGCGGTCTATTGGATCAAGGAGGAAGAAGGAGAACCGACGCTGTGGGGGATTACAGGCTGCCACACAGGATCACACACCAAAGCGCGAAGTGCTAATAAGTGCGCCCTCTGCAGGAGAAAGAGGCAACAGCACAAGGCCTCTGAAAATCCTGAGAAACGGGATGGTTCTAACAAAAGTTAGAGTTAGGAGGAAGAGAGATCTCAACCCACAAGCAGTGTGGAACAGTAGAGAGACTGCACTGAACATCAAGAAGTGAGGTCCAGACCCTGATAAAAATCTTCTACGTACTGAAAGGGCTGACGGAAGAACCCACCACACGCCGTGGTTAGCTAACGCTGGACTATGACAGGACCTCTAAGGTGCTCGCTAGGTCTCCCCCCTTGAGCTTCTCCAGCGTCACTCCAGCTACCTACCAGGCTCATCTGCTGAGAAGGCAAGCAGGCGTTAGTAGGACTTGGACTCTTGTGGGAGATGTTCAGGACGGGGGACAGAAATGCAGCCGTGAAGGCCCAGCTGGGGTTAGAATGACAGCACAGCTGGCGTCAGCCAAGTTGTGAGAGCAGATTTTCAGAGTTACTATTTTAAGTTAAACGTTACAGAACAGAAAGACATTAAAATTGGCAAAAGCAGATCTGTATTCTACATCTAGCTCTAACACCAACACCTTGAGCAGCAATTCTGAGAACATTTTATTAAGTATAATTAACACATTAAATTAGTTTCAGGTGTACAACACATTGCCTCAACAATTCTATACATTACTTGATGCCCACCACAATAAGTGTAGATTTTGAAGAAATTACTTTTTTTTTTTTTTTTTTTTGCCATGTTTAAGCTAGGAATAACCCCAGACACCTATCTCCCTCCAATACCAAAAATGTGAAGGTAAGTAAGAGTGCAAGTGAGGGTCTAATTTTCCTAAAGGCATTCACGACAACTGTCATGGTCAAAACTACCCTAGGCAATGAGCACGAGGCGCATGCTCAGCAAAAATGTACTTAATGAAAGTGAAAATTTAGTTAAAAATAATACCAATGATGATATTATTAATAAACAATTAAAAACTTAAAATCAGCTCAAAAACTTAAACTTTAAAAGATAATTAAAAACTTGAAATCAGCACGATATACCCAAACCCAACTGACTATTACATATAGAATTACTTAAGACCACCATCAGGAGAAGGGAAAAATACAAAATAAAATCACAGGTTCCTACCTGGTTGCTTGGATCTAGGCCAGCGTAAGAATTTCTTGAACTGCAACCAACTGGAGGTGTGGCCTCTCGAATGAACTCAGACATTTCAATCCCTCCACCAGGATCACTGTGCGAAAAAATGAGAAAAAGAGAGAGTAACTGTCATTATTCTGCCATCAATGGTTTTTTGTTTATTATTTTCTAAGTTATTATACCTTTTTCTATAAAACTGAAAGGCTCTAATTTCTAACAGAGCAAACAGGAATTTAAAAAAAGATCATTCTTCATTTGTAAGTCTTATAATCTGAACCATTTTATAACCACATCACTACTTGAAAATATTTAAAACTCTCTCCCAAACGGTCTACACCTAATCTGACATTAGTAACTCACCTTAATTACAATTATAGATGCTAAATACAGCACATAGTTTATGACATGTGCCATAAAGCCATTCTAGCAAAGACCTCATTTGCCTTTTGTTTCCCAAGAGCACAGAGCGACTGGCCGAGGCAAACAGAGAAGGCAACAGATCTCACACCGCCTCTCTCCAGAAGCACAGTCTGGCTGAGCAGCATGACACTATGAGGAACATGCAACAGTCCACCTTGTCAAGCTAACGCTGTCTGTATTTTTTACGTTAACAGCATTTAATTAGGGATACTAACTTGTTTTATAGAAGGAGAAAGCTAAGATTTCAGGTTTGTATTGAGTTAGAAGGCTTAAGTTTAAAAAAAATAAAATGATGTAGTAAAACAGGTATTAGAAAGATAAGAGAGAAGTACTAAGTTCAAACATATGTTGAGTACTTAAAGTCTACACAGAGTACTTAAAGATAAGAGGATCTAAAATTAGGGGAAAAGATCACACCAAATTTCAAAAAACTTAGAAAGTTATAATAAGATTCCTCAGGAACATAACTTTTAAAATAACGCAGTCCTATAAGTTACCAAAATCCCATTTTTTTACCCAAAGATTTTTACTCATTCTACCTGGTACATACAGAGGAAATATGTGAACTTTTAAGTTACTGTTATCAAGGATAAACGTTCCAGTATACATGCTAGAATTATAGCAGATATAAAGTATCTTGCCATCCAGCATCTAGTTCAATCATCTGGTTAACAAGACCACCAAAAAGCAACCCAAAATTCTTCTGTTGAGCCACCTCACCCCAAACTCGCATATGGTTTTGGGTAACGTTGACCATACATCCAGGTCTAGGGGTGAGCGCTACTGGCCAAAGCCAATCAGCATATTCCATCCTTCTGGTCATAGAACTTAGTCCTAGCACAGGCACAAGACCTAACTCAGGCTAGTATGAATCAGGCCAGGAGTGTGCTACTATTAAGAGAGGTTATTTCTCTACATCTGCTAGTCTTAATGCTAGTCTTACTGCTGAGAAGTCTTAATGCTGAGAGATTTAAGGCCTGGCGCTGCTGCAGCCATTTTACAACAGTATGGGGGGTGCTGTCTAAGAAGTTCACTGGAAAAAAATGGAGACCAGCCTGGTAAAGGAAGCCAGATCGTGAAATGACTGACACTGCATCTTCCCAATTCGAAGACATCCCTCACACACAGACTTTTCAGTAGTGTGTGCCATAAATTCCCATAAGCCTATTTCAATGAGGTAATCTGACAGCTGCAATCAAAAAATACAGGCAAAATAGAATTTGCTTACAAGTATGCCTTCCATTTATAAGTATTTATCACTATAGCTATTCTAGTGACTTTTAGTATTAATGGTCTCATAACTATCATGTCCCTGTTTACTTAATGGGTTCCCAATTCTAGGCCACTAACTGCAGTTAGTTAACTCATACTCAGTGAAGAAAATCAGCTTTCTAACTTGCTATCCACTTATACAAATAAAATATACCGGAACTCAGTTACAAATCTCATAGCAATTCAGCATGCAAATGTCCATGTGTGAGAGAGGTGAACCATACTCGAGTTTCTTGGCTGTTTGCTGTTAACTCATACAGGACACGTGGGCCAGAATGAAAAATCTTCTTCTAATTTGGCAAAATCTTCAGTGTGTATGTAGAGACAGCTATCACCACACTGAATGAGTGGTGAGTACTAACCAGCAACATCACCGTTCTCTCCCCCGTTCTCCAGAACGCATTCCCTAAGTCAGATTCCCGGAAATCAGAAGACGGAGAGTAAGGCAAAGATTAAAGAATACAATATTCAACCCCAGAGAAAGGATAGAGAGCCTCACCTTTCCTAGTTTATATACATCAACTTTATTGGTATATGATTCACATATCACCCAATTTATCCATTTAAACTGGCAAATCAATAGTTTTTAATATATTCATAAAGTCATGCAACCATTACCATAGTTCATTTTAGAACATTTCTATCACCTCAATAACAAACCCCTTTAGCTATTACCCCGCTTCCCTTCCCATCCACCCCCAGCCTTAAGTAGCCAGAAATCTGTTTTCGGTCTTTATATATTTGCCTATTTTGCATGTTTCATAGAAATGGAATCATAATATGTATGTTCTTTGTGACTGGCTTCCTTCACTTAGCCTCAAGTTTTCAAGGTTAATATGTGTTGTAGCAACTATGAGTACTTCATATTTTTTATGGCCAAATAATCCTTCACTGTATGGAGAGAACACATTTTGTCAACTCATTTGTCAGCTGATGGGACAGTATTGCCTACTTATAGACACCACTTCCGAGAGCAATTACAAATGATTACAATCTGAAGGTTAAGTTATTATAAATAACAAATAAAAGCAAATATTTACTAAGTACTTAATACATTCCAGTCATAGGGGCATGTGCTTTATTTGTATTTTCTCATGAAATCTCCTCCTAAAACCTAAGATATAAATACTTATCCTCATTTTAGAGATGAAAAAACTGAAAACCAAAAAGTGTAAAAATCTACGGTCTCACATTGGTATATGGAGTTCAGGCGGGAAGGGAGGATACAAATAATATTTACACAGTACTCTACAATCTGTTATATGTTTTCTCTCCCACACACAGCTGAATGTAGGTACTTACAGCCAATGAGAACTGAGACAAGACTTGAACTCCTTGTCTGTACAGCTCTAAAGTCCACTCTAAAACACCAGTACTTGTCTTTTAAAAAGAAAATTTAGCATTCAAGTTTTCTTTCCATTTCAAAACCAAAAATAAACACCATTGTCTAAAACAGGGTTTTTTAACCTCAGCACTGTTGATATTTGGGGCCACTTCATTCCTGACCGTGGGGGACCATCTCGCACATGGCAGGATGGTTAGCGCTATCCCTGACTGCCATGCTAAATGCCCGCAGCCTAAATGCCCGCAGCACTTGCCCCTGGTTGTGATAAACAAAAATGTCTCCAAATATTGCCAAATGTCTCTTTGTGGGGAGAATCACCCCCAGCTGAGAAACAATGATACAGAACTTGCCCAGGGGCCAACACTGAGTGGGCAGGAAATATTAAAGGGAGTAAAAAGAGGAGGAATGAAAAAATGGATAGCTCCTTTTGTAACGAAATAATCCTCTAGCAAAATTACCAGACCTCTCTTCTCTACAAATTCAGAAGTAGAACTTTAGCCAGCGGGTCACTGTCCTAAATATAGCTAAACACACAAAATGGCTGAGTAAGAGTTTCTTTATTAGCAAGACTTGCAGATTTTTGGCAATGGCAATTTCAGCACATACCTGGAAAGTATAGTAGTTTACAATTCTCACAGAAGCAAAGTGGTCTACTGCAGTAAGCAATACACCAAATTCAGGGAATCTCTACCTTTATGCCTTAATTTCCCCATCTGTTAAAAAAAAAAAATACCAGGTACACGGAGAGGCAGAAAAGCAGAAGGGGTCTAATCTGAATTATAAAGGAGATTTCACAAACCTGATTTGTTGGTTATTAGTACCATGAACTGCTCAGGCTTTAAGGAGAAACTTCACAGCACCATTACAGTACTAAATTTGCAAATCTAATGTAGATCATAATGATGTTCATAAAAGTATGAATAGGTAAAAACAAAGTCCTTAAACAAATCCTCAAAAGATTTGCCCTAAAATTTACCCACATATAGTTTAAATACTTAATTTACAGTATTTCAAGCACTACAGTCATGAGAAACAGAAAATATGGTCTCCAAAATATTTGTATTCAAATCCTAAAATCCAGTGTGCTAATTTCCTCTCCTGAAACATTAAAAAAGTAATACAAATATTAATGACTTTCATTCTTTCTCTAATAAAGATTAAATAAGGATTTTTGAACTGCTGTACCAGAGCCGACAACCATAAGGCTCAAGTCCTCCTGCGTTCATTCATTCATGCAACAAACTGACAACTATACTGTACCAAGCACAGTGATAGGCTCTGGAAATGAAATTATTTTCCTGTCCATTTCTTCTCCTCAGAACGAAATGTGAGTCCAAGTGGGAGAGTGGGGGAAAACAGATATCAAGAACAAAAATCTACAAAAAAGATTTCATTTAAGGGTGAAACTTCAAAACACTTGAAGATTAGAAAAACACAAGGATATAAGCCAAAACTTTAACCATGGGCTAGAAGTCATAGCCTATGAAAGTTAAACTACTGTAAGGACTAGAAAGGAAAAAATAAAACTGTCGTCACTTATAGAAAATCAAATACCTATAAAGTTCCAACATTAATAGGGGAGTTTAGTGAGGCTGCTGGATAAACAGGAAACTGTTATATTTGTAGGAGAGAAAAAAAACAGAAAGGGCAATTATGAAACATTTCTGTAATGAAAACACTATAAAATAATTTGGCAAATTTAACAAAAGTTATGCAAGTCTTTTAATGAAGAATTGATATATATTTACTGAAAGATATTAAAGAAGGCTAAGTAAATGGAGAGATTCAATATTGTAAAGCTATTAATTCCCAGCAGAGGAATCTCCATATTCAATGTAATGTCTATAAAAATCCTATGTTCTTAAAGACTTTGCCCAACAGGCTCTAAATTCTATATCAAAGAACAAAGAGCCAAGAATAATAGTCACTCCTGAAAAAGAAAAAAGTAGGAGGTCTGCCCCACCAGACATCAAAAGTCATGTCATAAAGCTACAATAACTGGGACAGTGTGGTAATGACAGAGGCACAAACAACCAGATCAACAGAACAGAAAAGAG